AAAAAAAAGTAAGCATTGGCATATGAAACGCTGATGGCGAAAGGCTTCATACATGCCGACATTGGATGACATTGGATGTGACGAATGAAAATAATAAATGACGTGTTTACAGATTACCTTAGTGGATCTAAATCCTCTCAAGTTGGGCTGATTCAACTGCTTTTCGTGACAATTGTTAAAGGCGTCAACACATTTACTGGGCCATAAAATGGATCTTCGATGTCTCTGCTCTTTGATGTTGTTCTGATTGAGGTGAGTTTGATGGTTAGCTCCGGATTCTTCGTTCTTAGTTTCCTTTACAACACCCATTTGTGGATTGGTTCCATTTAGAGCTTTGGCAGGATATGGCGCACTTGGGCCATCATTCGTCGATGAATTCTGCGGTGAAGGACGGCATGCAGCTTCGAGAGAGTTCTGAAAACTTCACTCGAAAATCCTTATGTAAATCGAGTGAATTCGCATTTCACTCCAAACCCACCTTCATGTTGGTGATCGCTTCGGCATTCACTGGTCGTTCTATCACCAGACTTACCATGTGCGTGTTCTGGAAAATTATTCAAGCTAAAAGCTCTTGTCTTTCAAAAAATGCAATCGACTGTCATTTTTTGATCCATGTGAAATCTCAGTTCATAGTAAATGATTGTTTGAGCCCTGAAATACTCATTTCAAACGCTTGGAAAGAGAATCAGAGACGTAATCGTTTTTAGAACAATGCTTTCTTGTATTCTCAAACTATAGCTCGAGTCTCCCCTAGCGTTCCACTCGCAGACGTAGTATGATTTATTTGAACTGTGTCGCTCTGGTTTGCTGGGACGACCCTTCAGGGTTTGGGAGATCAGCTTTCAGTACCTTCCAGTTGAAGTCTTCTTTCCCAGCTCGGTATATCTTCCACCATCAGATCCTCCAGTTCTTACCCTGTGAGTCCGAGAGAGCGAAGAAGGTGGTGCAGACAGAGAGTTCGTGGGCGATGCTCAATTCGTAGACCCTTTCTCCTTCTTGGTTCCTGGTTGAAAAACTCGGAAGCGGGTCGTACGCGCCACTTTAAGATGACGTCTTAGCCTTGTCACTGCATGTTTTTGAGACTTCACGCATCTCATGAGAATAGCCCCAGATAGAAGCGACGGTGGACTTCACAGCATTCTGGACAGGGGAAATGGTGCGTAGAGCACCACCCAAGCAATAGAAAAGTTGAGGTTGGGAAGGCAACTGCTCCACATAGTGTGCCAATCGAGGCATGGAATACGTTCGGAGAGTAAGGGTTTGGATGGTTCATTCGACACCTAAACACTGATGGAAAAGTCCCAGATGTCCTGAGTAGCTGCAGCATCGTTCTCATCTTCGGGCAGAAAGGGGAAAGGGGGGGGGGAGGAGAAGTT